TGAAGTTACTGTAGATGACCATTTTAGCTATTTTTGCATATAATTTTTTCTTTATTTTATTAATAAAATATATTTTAAAAATATTTTTTTCTTATATCAGCAGAATCAGCCAATGCAGCCATTTTAGCCAGAACTTCATGAATTTCAGCAGAATCAGCCAAAACAGCCGATTTTCGTGCTACCAAACGGGCTCTACAAAATCGAATTTGTAAGTGCGTGAATTTACAATATAGAAATTACGGGTTTGCGCATTTAGAGAACTAATATCAAAGCTAATAGAAAATGGGAAAGTTCCCGAAATGGGACTAAAAAAGTTTGAAAATTCCAAAATAGGACTGTCATATTTTTATTCCCAAAATAGGACTAATTACTGCCAAATTTGGAAAATACTGCCATGTTTGAAGTCTGGTACTGCCAAAACATGACAGTAATTAGTTCTATTTTGGGAATAAAAACATGGAAGTCCTATTTTGAAATTTCCAAACTTTTTTAGTCCCATTTTGAGTAATATCTCAATAGAAAATACGCCTCCTGAATAGACGTACGCTTTATTTAAACAAATCGGTCCGGATTTATTACCCCATAATAAGTACTCATTAATCATATAAGTTTTCCATAATAAGTACATCTTCCGTTTATTGATATGATTTCCCCCCTTTAATTTGCTTAGCTTGAATTGTATGGAGTATATATGTATATTTGAAACAATGATAATACAAGCACCGAGTCTCCTCTCCAAAATATGTATATTTCGGTGCCCCTCTCCATTATTGCTTAATTACTACGGAGTATAGTTTGTATACTTTTTAGAGATATACCATATATCTCTAAAAAGCCCATGGAACATGGAACACCGACCGTCAGATCTTGTGAGTTTCTCTGTACCTAAGCATATATAGCCACACATTATTCCAAAATAGTTCCATATATAATACTCGATTCGTACAAGGTATACGTCGATTGATTTTCAATTTTTTGCACTTTACACTAGTTTAGAACTTCTTTGACAAGTGTTATTTTAGCTGAAGTTTTTTGGTACATCGTTGAGCTAAAGTGGTTTAAATGGGCAACATACAATGTTATTTAGGGAAAAAAGTACTCCGAGTTAAATAAGGATTGACGATAACTCTTAAATTTATAGATTTGCGTGTTGAAAGTGGACGTTAATTGTTGTTTAGGGTGTATGATCAAATTGAATAACACGTTGCCACAGTTTATATGATCATGTTAAAGATTACCATTAAATTTATAGTTTTGTGTGTTGAAAGTGGACTTTAATTGTTACTTAGGGTGTCTGGTCGAATGGAATAACACGTTATTATAGTTTATAGATTCACTTGTTATTTAGGTTATACTACGTATGTAGTATATGTCGTCGTGGACCGTTGTGCAAGGTGATTGTTGCGGCCATATAAATTTATATTCGATTACATTTACTTTTAGAAAAAGTTAGAAAGGTTTGAAAAGTTCATTGTTTATATTTAATTATATAAATCTTCTATAATACTTTCTTCTGTCCCATAAAATAGTTCTCACATTGAATTTGATTGAAATTTAAAAAAGTAGGAATAAATAAAATGAAAATGTATCATGTATGGTTGTGGTTGAGTAGGAAAAAAAGTAAATGAAAGTGAGACACACAAAACTTTCCAAAAAGATAAATGGGACTATTTTTGGGACAACCCAAAAAGAAAACAGGGAACTATTTTGCGGGATAGAAAGAGTGTATTTGAATTTAATCGTTTTAAAGGTATTTTATTATCATTATGAATTATGAATAAGTAAGAACAACATTACTAAGAAAAACTACGTACTTAGTACGGGAAATTCATATACGCAAACAAGTAACAAAAACAAAGAAATAATGAAAGCTAATACGGTTACAAATATTTAGGGGGTGTTTGGATCTGATTTTCAAAACTGATTCTGCTCCTTCAGGGAGCAGAAATAGAAGTTTGAGTGTTTGGTGAAATTCCAGAAGCACTTTTGGTGCTCTAATTTACTCTCAGAATCAGTTCTTTTATAAACTGGGGGATACCAACTTCTGAAAACTGATTCTGCTTCTACTTTAAAAAATAAGTAGAAGCGGAATCAGTTCCAAACCCCCCTTGGAGTGAAAAATTATTACAAAACACAACAATAGCACATGAAATAAAGTATGAAAGGTTTTTTTTTTGACGAAGTATGGAACGGTTATTAGATACTGATAGTCTGATACTCCATATTTGTTCATTTTATAACTTCGGCTAAAGTGTACTTCGTATACTTTATTGCATTACTTATTCATTCTAAACCCGCCAATGTAGGAAATTAATAATCAAATTTGCAGTTTTGTGTAAAGGTTAAGTACTAAATACTAATGATGATGTTTAAACGTAACAGATTTGCGTGCTAAAAGTAGACGTCACTTGTTGCTCGGGTTGTCGATTCAAATTGGAGAAGGCGTTATTAAAGCTTAATGGTAAATTTAACACCTCTCCGGATTTATGTTCTTTTAATGTATTTGCTGATTTTATTTTGATTATCGTTATTTTGATCTCGTTTGATTTTTTAGATTTATTATTGTAAATATATACTGAGTAAAACTTTAGTAATAATAGACTAACAGCCGATATAATACGGAGTATAGTACTACTTTCCTGTTTCCTCCCATACTTTTTCACATTACTCTTGGCTTATTTTGAAAGTAATTCCTATGTTCCTATATATGGAGTATAAGTGTAGTTACTACGTACAATATAAGTTTTGAACACAATTATATACACTAAAAGTGATAAAATTCACATTTTTGTTGATGATATTTTTGTTTAATATTTTAGGAAAAAATCTCATATTTTACTAATAATGTTTTTATTTGGATTGATTTGAGCCTCATATATACAAGAACAGAACAAATCAGAGTAGACTTAAACAAACTAAAAAAGTCTAGACTAGATTTAAACAAACTAGACTTCGATAGTTATAAAATACGCATACACCAAACATATACCCAATCAGACTATTTCAGACCACACCAAATCAGATCGGACTAGATCAGATCATAAAATTTCAGTTCAACGAAAAACATGTCAACTCTTCAAACTTTCAAAGTACTATCAAGGGCTGACAAAATCAGGTCAGACTAGTTTTAAATACATCAACTAGAAAGAATTAAACAGATCTAATTCGACCTGATCTGATTTAATTATTCAAATCAAGTCGGTACAGATTGCCAAAGAATTCCACTAATCAATCAATAAAATCACAACCTTTTTATCCATTTTTTTCGGAATAATGCTGATTAAATAAATAATTTCCAAAATACTGTTGGGTTAAAAATAATTCTCAAAATACTGCTGGGTTAACCGTGGTCAAGCAAAGCCGCCACTTGAAGTGGCGATTTTCGCACCACACTTGCGTAACATGTATGCCAAAGTCTAACAATAAATGCAATGGGACCCATCCAAAATTAAAAAACCCCTTTTTACTTTGAATTGATGTAACTTTTTTATTTGTACTCTCATTGCTACAAAAAAATATACCAAAATTCATATTTTTTTATTATCTTTCATATGACACCAATATTGAATATATAAAATCAAAAATAATCTAACAATCTAAAAATTACTACCTCCGGTCTTAAATAAACTTCTGGTACTGTTTACGATGCTTGATTGGGGATAAAGCAACTCGATCCTTGCTCACATTTAGATTATTTTTATTAAATAAAATTTACATATTCAGAAACTACATTAAAACCGCTAAATGAAATATCACACTTTAAAAATCACTATGTATTTTTTTAAAGTGTTATGTATTTTTTATTTTATTCCGATTATTACAAAAAAAAATATCAAAATTTATTATTTTTTGTTATCTTTTATTGGCAAGCAATGTTTCATATAGAAAAATAAAAATAAAATCTATTAATTTGTGTAGTTTATTAATTATGTGCATGGTAAAAAATGGTCCCAAACCAAAACCTCTCTCGAAGGCGCTTTGTAGCGGTTTTAATGTAGTTTCTGAATATGTAAATTTTATTTACTAAAAATAATCAGAGTGTGAGCAGAGATCGAGTTGCTTTATCGTCAATCAAGCATCGTAAACCGTACGAGAAGTTTATTTAGGACCGGAGGTAGTAATTTTTAAAGTGTTAAATTATTTTTTGATTTTATATATTCTAGTGTCATATGAAAGATAATAATATGAATTTTGGTATATTTTTTGTAACAATCAGAGTACAAATAAAAAAGTTACAACACTTCAAAGAAAAAGGAGTTTTTTAATTTTGGATGGGTCCCATTGCATTCATTGTTAGACTTTGGCATACATGTTACGTAAATGTGGTGCGATATTTTTTGATAAAGCCGCCACTTGAAGTGGCGGCTCTTGTACTGCGTAGAGAAAAATCGTCACTTCCAGTGGTGGCTTTGCTTGACCACGGTTAACCCAACAGTATTTTGTGAATTATTTTTAACCCAACAGTATTTTTGGATTATTTATTTAATTAGAATTATTCCGGGAAAAAATTCGTACTTTAGAGCTAACCTTATTTTTTGAATTATTGGGCTTATTAGTCGATTTTCTTACCAAACACGTAACTTTTAATTTCACGCGTTGAATTGTGTAATAATACAGAAATGTGAGGTTTGAATTGCTTTTGTGCCTGTAATGACTAAAATTGATGTAGAAGGTCATTTTAGCTATATTTTCATATTTTTTATTTTATTACTAAAATATATTTTAAATAAAATATTTTGATGAATTAGTAGAATCAACGGATCTAAACATTTTAATCACAAATTCATAAATTTTAGCAAAGTCAACCACATTCAACTCATTTGAGTTTTATCATAAATTTAGAAGCTCATTCTATCTTATTCAACTCATTTGAGTTTTATAATAAATTTAGAAGCTCTATCTGTCTTAATTGCTTTTGACTTGCTCTATGATAGATGTATATTCGGTGGAGTATGATGCAATAAACAAGTTGGCCACCGTGAGATGCAATTGCGAGCCCTCTGTGATAGTCAACCACATCCGGAAAATGGGTAAAGCGGCCCAACTCGTTTCCTACTCCAAAGGCCCCACCAAATCCCCCGCTTCTTCACCTGATCATTGTAACGGAAAAATCAAAGCGGATAACAACAAATCCTGTAAATCCAAGGCGAAGGAGAAGCAGAAATCTTCTGCTCCTTCGGATGAACACGAACCAGAAAACGATTGTGTTAGGCGTAGCCGCAGGTCGAAAGAGAAGAAGCACGTATGCGCGCCGCCGCTGCCGGTGGATGAGGATATTTGCCAGGACGAGTTCTGTGCAATTCACAGAAGATCTGTGAGAGATATGTTTGGATCCGTGTTTTGGAACCAATCCGGCCGGATAGGGGGTATCCGGGGGTCGAATTTTGGTGCTCCTCTTCATTCTTATTATCCGCCGCCGTCGCAGCACTTTTATCCGCCGCCGCAGCAATCCTATCTGCCGCCGCAGCAATCTTATCCGCCATCGCAGCAATCATATCCGCCGCCGCAGCAGCAATCTTATCCTTCGCTGCACCGATCTTATCAGCAGCCGCAATCATACGGATACTATAGCCCTTCCGGTGTGATGCCACTGCGTGGAAATGGGTACTATCCTGCCTATAATCTGAGAGGCGTGCCAGGTCGTGACGAGAATCCGGCGGAAGATTGCAGAACCCAATGAGTGAATATGTTCTTGTTGTGGGAGTCATATTTTATTGACCCAGAGAGTGTGATGTTCTTCCCCTCGTAGTACTTTCACTCTTTTCAGATTGTTATACTTCTTTTTTTACAATATTCAGATTGTTATACTTAGAGCCCGTTTGGAGAACTCTGTTTTCGGCTTATCAGGCTTATCAACCAGCTTTTTCACCAAACACGTAACTTTTACTTTCGCGCGCTGAATTGTGTAATAAGCCGAAAAAGTAAGGTTGAAGTTACTTTTCTGGCTGTATTGGCTGAAGTTACTGTAGATGGCCATTTTAGCTATTTTTACATATAATTTTTTCTTTAATTTATTGATAAAATATATTTTTAAAATATTTTTTTCTTAAATCAGCAGAATCAGCCAAAACAACCACTCCAGCCAGAATATCATAAATTTCAGCAGAATCAGCCAAAACAGCCGATTTTGGTGCTACCAAACGGGCTCTTAGTACTTCATAACTAGTATAGTACGATATTAATTTTCTCATATTGTATCTATTTTGTTTTTAAAAATGTGAAATATGAAGTCCCACTAATGAAATCAACTTTCTGAATCAATGTTACGATTAACATTGTGATTCCAATTCAATCGATCAAATGTTTTGTTAGAGAACTGTTAAAAAAATGTAAGGGAAAAGGTGCAAATAGGCCCATGTACTAACAAAAAAAGGTCAAATAAGCCCTTATTTAGGAGGCTCTGTCTGGTCATCGCCATTTGGGGTGGTTCCCGGTGGAATTTTTTGATGAAATTTTTTGAGCATCTTATTCATCAAGTCTAGTTTACTCATACCAAATTTCAGCTAAAACTTCAATCGGGAAGGCATTCAAATGAATTCTTGAAAATAACTGCGCAGTTAGAATCGCAGTTATCTTCAAGAATTCATTTGAATGTCTTCCCGATTGAAGTTTTAGTTGAAATTTGGTATGAGTAAACTAGACTTGATGAATAAGATGCTCAAAAAATTTCATCAAAAAATTCCACCGGGAACCACCCCAAATGACGATGGCCGGAGAGACCTTTCTAAATAAGGGCTTATTTGACCTTTTTTGGTTAGTACATGGGCCTATTTGCACCTTTTCCCAAAATGTAATTATCTAAAATGTTTCATTAATATTGATGAAACAAACCTTTCACAACATTTCTAAGGTAGATTTCTTAGTCTTTCGGAAATAACAGTTACAACCTCATTTTGAAAGTCAGAAATGCATTTTAGAACAGAATGCTGACAAGGAAACATGTGACGCCTAGCCAGAATGCTGTTGTAACACCCCCTACCCGACCAGACGTATCGGGCAGGGAGTGCTACCCGCAGTGCCGCAGCACCAAAGCGTTGACTAACTAATTATTTTCTTGAAATATTTTTAGTTGAATTTAAATGAGAATAATAATTATATTAGTTTTTATCAAAGTCCATAAATTGCGGAAGCATAAATATATTACACAACAAGTAATTCTGGATTTTTGGAATAACCAAATACATCCATGAGATATAACCATTCTCATTTTTATTTACTTCACACACTAATATGCTAAATGAGCACTTATTATGCAACTAGAGATGGATTATTACTAATATGCAGATGTGACTCTTTGATAATTGACTGCTGCTCCCAAATGCATCCCAACTTGAATTCCGCCTCGTAACGCTTATTGACCTACGCGAAGGACAAAAATCCAACGCGCTAAGCAAATCTTGCTTAGTGGTGTTCATTCTTTCTCAATGAATAATCAACATAAATTGTAACAATATAATATCAAAATAGCTTATAAGTCTGAATTAATTAAGAAAACAACTTTCTTCATAGCTAATGTAGCTTAATAATATGTCATCAAAATGATAACACAATTTGTTCACAGAAATCATTTTTTTTGCAAATTTTTCAGAATATAGAGTATAACAAATTAAAGTATACTTCTTATGCACTTAGCATTTTCCACTTCTCGACGTACCATTTTTTTTTTCTCAATTTGCATTTCCAAATCAAATTTCTATACGTTTCTTATTTTCAGGAATTTTACTCCTTAGTTTAATGGACTGGATAAACGAGACATTCCTCATCTTGTATTGTCCACTCTGTGGCTGCGGACCATCTGAGTAATATCGGCACTGACCGTTGTGTGGGTCAGGCCTTTCGTTTGGGTACTGTCCACTCTGTGGCTGCGGACCCTAAACGATCAAAGTTCAAGATTTTCGTTATAGTATCAGCACTGACCGTTGTGTGGGTCAGGCCTTTCGTTTGGGTACTGTCCACTCTGTGGCTGCGGACCCTAAACGATCAAATTATACGGCCGTATTAACTATCCCTATTGGCATGCCAACCTATCCAATCCAAAGCAAAGTTTCAATTTCCTTTTTATTCATTACTCCTATTCAGTGATCTTGTTGCTTCTATGCCTGTGATTATTATTAAATTAAATGGCATTCCTAACAAAAACTTATGTGTAAAGTTTCTGGAACACAACTTATTTTAAATACAGTTTTCAGTTTTAAAATATCAATTTACGTTACTGTGTGCCGTTTGGAATACGAATTTTATTATGAAAATTTAATTAGTTTTTCTGATAAAATTGTGACTAACGTAACTTTTTAAGAGTTGGTTTTAACAGTATACATATATTCTCCATTTGAAAATATCAATTGGATCACTTTCGAAGTCAAACTTAATTAGTTAGACAAAAACGAACACTTCATATTATTAGTACTATTATTTTAACGGAAATTAATTATTTATACTATGATATCATTTAACAAATTAGATCCATAATAATAGGTTTCGAAATGCATATTGTACGTAACTAGTAAATTGTTCGCGCGTTGCGCGAGTGTAATATGCCCAACTCATAACTTTAATGAATTGTGTAATTGTGTTCAAAATAAGTATATATAAAATGTTTATTTTAGGAGCTATATTATACAACATATTAATTATCATAAATAAGGGTATGTAGATGAATGTGATCATGTTATGGTAAAATACAATAAAACAATGATAAAGTATTTGAGGCAGGAATATTATTAGTATGAAAGTATACATTTAAATAAAGAAACGTACAGGGAGTTAGAGACTCAGTATATTTGAAATATTTTGCGGCAATCCAAAACTCATTTTTATACACAAGCATTTTTTACGTGTTTTGTGCTTTTGATTGTCAAACTATTGCACCCTACTCTAAAAGAACTTTGTTGAATATAACATTTTTTATAGCATGAACCATATGTTTTAGCATCAAGGAATGGTTTTATTGCAAGTAAAAGAAAATCTATGACAAACATGGAGTTTATCATGAAAATTGAGCGATAAATGAAATCGTAGACAAGAATTCTGAACAAGGGCTGGCTAGATGGTGGCTTGAACATTAGCAAGCTTAGCTTCCTGCTTTTAAATAGGTTTTACACCTGCAGCAAGTTAGTATAGATTCATGAAAGGTTGAAAGTATTAGGCCTTCTTAGAGGACCTCTGAAAAGTACAAAAGTTGTAATAGTATTGTTGGCCGATATCATCACTCTAGAAAGCCGCCATTGCTGAACGATTGCTATAAAAAAAACTTTGGATTTGCCCTGATTGCCGCTTGCACAGTCACTTGTTCTTCTATGGAAGAAATCTGTGAATAAAGAAAGAGGATTGGATCTATGGAGAGATTCAAGTTCAGCAGCTCCTAGTTGTTGAATATAACATTTTGTCATTAGTCTTCTAATTCATTTTACCTATCGTATCCCCCGCCACTTGGAACTTACAAAGAAAAGCAAAGGTATGTTGTATGAATATACCTAGAAGCTTAAAAGATACGAAGTATGTAGTATCATTGAAAACAACACATACCATTCTAAGCCTAAGTGAAAATCAATCTTTAAGAGAACTGAAAACTTGTATGTGTTGACTAACAAAAACTGGACTGGAGGCAAGTGAAATGAATCAATCTAGACATATTATCAAACAATTATGGTACTTTTAGTTTCCTTTCATATAAGATTTTTTTCACATAAATTTGAGGAGACCATTTAAGCAGAATCGAAGTCTCAAATAATATAAAACACGCAGCTAAAAGCGGCCGCAGTACATCCAAAAGATAGGAGCTTATTTTGATTCTATAAATTAAGAATCACACAAAGAACAATTCCAATCTTACCAACGTAGAGCAGAAACATTGCAACACTTCTCATAACAATTAGGGAATCACATCTAAGGATGAATATAAAAGTGTAATCCTGAACTAATCAAGCAAATAAGATGGCAGAAAGAAGAATGTTGGAATATTACATGAAAGCACAATATAACATACCTAATAGATGGCTGATCAGCTATCGTGAGAAGGAGAGAAATGTAAGTTGAAATCAAATTATATATTTGTCCGGAAGAAAGGTTAATATCTAGAAAAACGTAAAAATTAAACTGATAAGAGAGTAAGAGACTCTACGAACGGTGATGAAGGATTCATGCGGTGAGCTGCCATGGGAAGCGGATTTTGAAATAAAAATTGAATTAAAAGTTAAATGAGAAAATTAAAAGCAAGAGTAGATGAAGAGCCAAAACACAATGCGGAGTAGATACGAAGCAATACATAAATGATATACTTGTTGAGTTGACGGTGCGTAAACAACTATAACACCGTCTTGACGGTGAAGGCCATAAATTGGAAGGCTAATACTCTAATAGCATATGGTACAACAATATAAAGCTTAACTATCAAGAAGTGATAAGCATATATAGTTTAGTTTAATTAAAGTAAACAGGTGGCCTTGAATTGGTTTATAGTTTAGTTTGAAACTTTCCCTAATAGGCATATATATAAATCTGAAATTTCTATGCTACACGTAAAGTCTGAAAAGTTATTCATTATATGTTATTCCGAAAATAAAATAGAAAAAATGGCACGCGTATGACCCTTGCACTTTTCAAAGACAAAATTACAATTGATTTGAGCTTTTCCATAAAAGTGACCTTAACTTAAAACTCTCGTTGCCTTTTCCCCCTTCCAAACTCTCACTGCCTTCTTCTCCTTTCAACTATTCGAACCAGTCACTGCCGCCGTCTTAATCAGTGAACCACCACCACCTGAGCTCCGCCACGAGTTGAAGCCACCACCTCCGCCGCAATCGGACGTCTCTGACGGTAGCATCTTGCACCTCCGCCCTAACCTTCATCTACCTTTGTTGTTGTCTTAGCTAGCCGCGTCTCCGATGTACGACGGCTCCGATCTGAGGCCGCCGGTTCCAGATTCATCTTTCTCAATGGGCGATGACTCCTATTTGGGCCGCCGGTGCCGGATCCGCCATACTCCATAGCCAATGACTCTGATTTGGTGTCCGATTTGGGACCATCGCTGCTGGCGGAGTCCGATTCGGGGCCGCCGCCACTGCTGGGGTCCGATTTGGGGCCGACGCTGCTGGCGGTGGCTTTATTGCTAAGGTTTTGTGCAAATCGGCCGGACAAGGACCTGGGGGAGGACAGGGGCGGGGCAGAGGAGCATGGGATGGGGGATGGATGTTGGGGCTGAGGGTGGATGGTGGTGGTGGTGACTGGCGGTGATGACTAGGGGTGGCCGGGTCACGGTGACGCAGGCGGCATGGGGATGGGAGGGGCAGTACAGTTTGGTGTCTGATATGGCAATGTCGGCTGGGTTGTCATTGGGCGGTGGCGGTGTCACTGTCACGGTGTCAGTGACACGAGAGGTGGTTACAGTGACACGGTCGGTGGCTACAGTGACACAGAGGTGACTAAGTGACATAGGCAGCGGTTACAGTGACAACGGGAGACAGTGACATAAAATCTGACAGTGATAGTATGTTTTTTCAAATATATGATCTTCTTAGTCACTTTTCTGTCTTTTTAAAAAAATGGTCACATTTTAAAAAAGTGGCTTTAATTTAGTAATATTGAAGGTAAAAGCCCAATAAAATATGTATTAATTCCTTTTTCTATTATAAATAACATAACTTAATTATAGTTAAATAAAAAAAACTGAATAATACTTCGTACAAACTTCTTTACAATAGGAAGAAATCTTTGTAAAATAAAAGTATTGATTCATATTTCAATTATAAGTCATAAATCTACAAATTAATGAATCTCAAGTAATATAAAACTTCTCTAACTAATAATAGGTATATTTACTATTTAAGAATCGAATTAACAAAATTATCACTTCTTAGAATAATATAGTTAACTTCTGAATCAATAACTATCATCACTACATTATGATATTTACTATCCATTTCTTGAATACTTAAAACAGGTAATCCTTTAAATCGAAATTATTAAAGCATTTCTCTCAAATGATAATTCATCAAAATGTAAGTAAAACATGTCAATATAACTAAGTGTCATAGTAGGACGAAATGACAATATTATTAAACAATGCATTTCAGGAAGATATAAATGTGATAAAATTATAGAGCTTATTAAATACTACATATGATTTAAGTTGAGAAGGGAATGAACACAAACCTCAAAATTTTAGGCAAGATTTTTACTTCTTAGTTTCCTCCTATGCTTTTTATCCCCTCTTTTCTCCCGGCTTCTCCTCCCTTAGCATCTTATCTCGCGGCCCTCTCCCTCTTTACTTTCCTTAGTGTCATTTTGTTCGCGGTTTTTCTCTAGACTCACAAGAACTAATGCCTACTAGCACCTTTTTAATACTAAGAATTATTAATGACTATTCTATTCTTACGTTTGTTTTCTTCTAACTCGTGATATTCGAGTTTGCATGTTGCTCTACTGCTACTTTTGTTTTCTTCTCTCAAGGGCTAGCCAAATGTATAGCATGCTGTTTGGATGAGTGTTACGTTGAAATTGTTAATATTATGATGACAGCATGCATTTGTTCCCTTCTAGAGTGTTAGGCCATGTGTATATCTCTATATGTGACCATACATCAAGTTATAGCCATGCTTCCATATGTACGTATAACATTATGTGACTAGTGGCAAAATAATCTAGCCTCTTGATTTATAATTCCTTGATATTACGAAAATTATCTTGTTACTATTTTTTTTTCAATTTTTTTTTATCTACCTTTTTATATTGAATTTAAAATTTTTGTGAAATTGAGATTGTTACAGTTGTGTTGCTTCGTCCTATTAGCCCGGATGAGGTGAAACGAGCAGTGTTTGATATGCATCCTGACAAGGCTCCAGGGTCTGATGGAATGAATCCGGCGTTTTTCCAAGCTTACTGGGATATTGTAGGACCTGAGGTGGCGCGACTTGTTTTAGGTATTTTTTATTCTGGCTCCTTTCCTAAGGAATTAAATGTTACAAACTTGGTTTTAATTCCTAAGAAAGACAAGCCAGAAAATATGGGGGACTGGAGCCCTATAGCTTTGTGTAATGTGGTTTACAAAATCTTTTCAAAGGTTCTGGCAAATAGGCTTAAGTGCATTCTTTGTGATTTGGTAGATGACAATCAAAGTGCTTTTATACCGGGACGGTCTATCATTGATAATGTAGTGGTTGCTTTTGAAACACATCATTATCTGAAAAGGAAAAGCGCTGGTAACGAAGGTTATGTGGCTATGAAACTAGACATGAGCAAAGCATATGATAAAGTCAGTTGGAGATTTCTGGAGGCTGCGTTAAAAGCGCTTGGCTTTGATGACCGGTGGACGCATTTGGTTATAGAATGTGTGTCAACGGTCAAATATTTTATTCAGATTGACAAAGACTTTTTGGGTCCTATTATTCCGGAGAGGGGTCTGCGGCAGGGGGACCCCCTATCACCCTATCTTTTCATTTTGGTTGCAGAGGGTCTAAGCTCACTGATTCGAAGGGCGGAAGCGAAAGGAGAAGTCCATGGAGTGGCGGTGTGCCGTGGAGCACCAAAAATCTCCCACCTTTTATTTGCGGATGATAGATTTCTTTTCTTTAAAGCTAATTATACTGAATGCTCTGTGATAAGAAGAATTTTGCAGGATTATGAGAAGGCTTCTGGACAGGCTATAAATTACACTAAATCTTCCTTGACTTTTAGCCAGAATGTGGATGAAGCCACTCGTGATTCGTGTTGTCAGTTTTTTAATATCCACCGGGAGAGTGGTCAGAGTCGTTACTTGGGGCTGCCGACGCTTGTGGGGAGAAATAAATCAGCCATCCTGAGCTACTTGAGGGACCGCATTGTGAGTAGAATAAAAAATTGGAACAATAAATTTCTTTCCAGAGCGGGCAGGGCGGTTCTCATTCGGAATGTATTGCAGGCGCTCCCAAATTATGCGATGAATGTTTTCCTGCTATCTAAAGATTTATGTGATGAGATAGAAAAATTGTTAAATGGCTTCTGGTGGAAGGGTAATAAATTTGACCAAAGAGGGATTCGTTGGCGCAGGTGGTAGCTTCTATGTCGACCTAAGAGTGAAGGGGGTTTGGGTTTTCGCAGGATCAGGGAATTTAATTTGGCAATGCTTGCCAAACAGGGATGGCGGCTAATAACAGAGCCGAGAAGTTTAATGAGCAGGGTTTTGAAAGCAAGGTATTTTCCAAACACAGACTTTTTGAATGCTAAATTAGGGAACAATCCTTCTTTTGTTTGGAGGAGTTTTTTTGAGACCCAAGAAATCTTGAGGAATAATACTCGCAGGCGAGTGGGACATGGTAGAGATGTGCAGGTTTGGGCAGACGCATGGTTGTCTGGACAGGGTTCGGGGCGAATCCAGTCAGCCAAACCCCCTGGAGTCCGAGATATGAATGTGGCACCGTTGAGGAACCATACGGGGAGGGAATGGAATAGAGAAAGGATGAGTTATTTCCGGGGGAGGGGTGTTTTTCAAACTTATTTCTCAAACTAGAGTACTTCTAAACTTATTTCCCAAAGTAGGGTATTTTTCGCCATGTCATCGCAGGTCGCCACATCAGTTTATCCACGTCATCCAAGCAATTCCATGTCATCCAACTTTAAGAATTGAAGTGTGTTTCTAAAAGAAACAAAAAAGGTTGGCACCAGGATTCGAACCTGGGTGTGGCACAAGGAGGAAGAGCTTCTAAACCACTACACTAATCAGTTATCTTGTGCATTTGACGTTTTGCCATATAGTTAAACCATATATACTTCTTTCCCTAACAATTAAAAAAATATAATAAAAACTTAACTTGAGTTATTCAATTAAAAAATAAAAACCTAATTAAAATTTATAATAAAAACATATTTCGCAATATTTAATTAGAAAATATTAATTTAAACTTATAATAAAAAACATAATTTGCAATATGTAAACATTTTTTGAAATAACTCAAAACGAAATAAAATAAAATATAAGTAAATTCATGCTAGTCCACCTCAATTTTTTTAAAACAATATTAATAATGTAAAATACCATATACATTTTAAACTTATAATTAAAAACTTAAGTTAAGTTATTCAATTAAAAAATAAAAACCTAACTATAAATTAATAATAAAAAACATATGTTGCAATAGTTAATTAGAAAATAAAAACTTAATTTACACTTAATAATAAAAACACATAATTTGCAATATGTAATCAATATTTTTTAAAATAACTCAAAACGAAATTCAATAAAATATAAGTGAATTCATTCTAGTCTACCTCTCATGAATAATATCCAATTTTAAATTGCGGTGGGCTAAAACCTTCCATGACATTTATTATTTTATTTAGCTCTTTATTTTTAATTATCTCAAACACAGTATCTTATGATATTTTTTAATTATTTCAAAATGAAGTTATGCGCAGTATATCTCTAACGAAAAGAGTAATACACGGATAAATGAATATACATTTGGATTTAAAATATTTGAATTTCAAATTTCACTAAAACTTAGCTCAAATTTGAGCATTGTATTTGAATTCAAATCAATAATAATTTATGAGAAAAATTCGAACCGAAGTCCATTTGAAAAGAATTGAGCTGCTACAAAGGATATTTTTTGAGAAAAATTGTATATGATATTTGTTTACATTATTATTTTACATTAGCATGAAATTTAATTATTTTTTATTTTACTTATTTTTTAGTTATGTCAAATAATTTCTTAATTACATACTTCAAATTAAGTTTTTTTATTATATGTTTAAAATTTATATGGTATTTTATATTATTAATTTTATTTTTAGAAAATTGAAGTGGAATAGAATGATTTGCTTATATTTTCTTTTTTTTCATTTTGATTTATTTCAAAAAATGTTCACATATTGCAAATTATGTTTTTATTATAATTTCAAATTAAGTTTTAATATTCTAACTAAATATTGCGAAATATGTTTTTTATTATAAATTTTAGTTAGGTTTTTATTTTTTAATTGAATAACTCAAGTTAAGTTTTTATTATATTTTTTTTAATTGTTAGGGAAAGAAGTATATACGGTTTAACTATATGGCAAAACGTCAAATGCAGAAGATAATTGATTAGTGTAGTGGTTTAGTAGCTCTTCCTCCTTGTGCCACACCCAGGTTCGAATCCTGGTGCCAACCTTTTTTTATTCTTTTAGAAACACACTTCAATTCTTAATGTTGGATGACATGGAATTGCTTGGATGACGTGGATAAACTGATGTGGCGACCTGAGATGACATGGCGAAAAATACCCTACTTTGAGAAATAAGTTTAGAAGTACCCTAGTTTGGGAAATAAGTTTGAAAAATACACCTCCCCTGGAAATAACTCGAGAAAGGATTCATTCTATTTTTGAAGCGGTGGATAGAGATCAATTTTTAAGCATACCAATTAGTAAAGTGGACAGAGATGACGGCTACTGGTGGACAGGGGAGAAAAATGGGAATTTTTCTGTTAAAAGTTGCTACAGGAAGTTAGTCAACACAGTCCCGTCCGGAGGAACACGTAGTTGGGCTAACTTGTGGGCACTTGAGGTACCTCCTAAATTTAAATATTTTATTTGGCAGGTACTGGATGGAACGCTCCCTACAGTTGATAATCTAAGGAGAAAATGCGTGCAAATCAGCGAAAATTGTCATCTCTGCAATGGAGGCTCCGAAAACCTAGAACACAC